GGGGAGGGGGGAGGGGGCACCTGCAGACTTATTGACACTTGGCTGAGACAAAGCGAGGCGTCACGAAAACACTTGCCGGCGCGACTTATATGTGCTCCCGTTACGACCGGACGCCCTTTTCCCGGAACATACACCTGCTTCCGTCGTCCGTCCGTGTCGGCCTGGCCCCTGGCCCGCCCATCTCCGGCGGGCTGGTTGGGCTGGTTGGGCTGGCCGGGCGGGAGACCAATCTTGCCCTGCTACTTGAACGATCAACGATCGCATCACACGGTTATCGATCATATCTCGACGATAGTGACGACAAAAAGATCTGTTTGCATAGAAAGTAGATTCGGCGCGGTCTGAATTTAGACATGTTTTTACTTTATTTTTCAAAATGGGAACGCGCGACGGCTGGCCAGTAACAGTCCTATGGCTGTCCGCGTGTTGTCCTCTCGGAAGCGTTGTAGTGCAGCAGGGTCATTATGACGCAGACAGATAAGGCGTGTCGTTACGTTGTGAGTGAGTGTGTGTGTGTGTGTGTGAGTGTGGGTGGGTGTGGGTGTATGTGTGCAAGTGTGTGTGTGTGTGTGTGTGAGAGAGAGAGAGAGAGAGAGAGAGAGAGTGTGTGCGTGCGTGGTCCCCGAAACCACAGATTGGTTCGGCACGAAATGGGACGACAGAGTATATTGTCTGTTCCGCTTATCTAAGACCGGGCTGCGCCGCGCCGCGCTACCGCGGTTCTGTACGAAGCACGGAGCCCTGCCCGTCGTGCAGCCACACCCGGCTCTAATTGATTTGATAAGCAAGTAAACGACTAACTTTTGTACAGCCGCGTGACAAAAGAACACAGTCACACAAAACACGGTGCGCTTGTGCGGAGCTCCACTCCCTACCCCGCGAGCCGTGCACCGCGCACCGCACTTACACTTTCCAAACTTGAGTCTCCCCTTTCCTTGGCTCTCTCTCTCTCCCCTTTCCCCCTCTACGCGCCCGTCGCACCCGTGCACCCGTCCCCCCGGGGGACATGTCGGGCTCCCCCCCCTCTGTACTCCTGTCCCGACGACACCCGAACAGCCCCGCGTCAACAACACTGGGGTCCCATCCTCCTCCCCGCGCACGGCGGCGCCCGCGCTCTATATACCCTAAATCCGGAAGCACGTTACCTGCTCTGCCCCAACATCGATCCCATCCGCGCTGCTCCACATCCCCGGCCCGGCCCGGCGGCCCGGAGGAGCCGCACGGGCGGCCAGGGCCAGGAACAGTGAGACCCGCGCCCTTGTTCAGGCGTTGCCATGGGCGCTCGCTGGAACATGTCGGGAGGAAGGGGAGGGGGAGGGGGCGCTTTCAATGTGACACCCCCGGTCTGGAGCCACCATTCATCCCGTTCCAGCAGCAGTCGATATGCAGCCCGCCGGTCCATTAGGGACACAGAGAGAGAGTGGTTCTTCAACGGTCCTGAGGGCCGCCGGGGCCCCCCGCGGGGGCTATAGGGTTGCCACCGGCGCCTGCCCCCGCCTCGCAGGGCCCCGGGGGCCGGGCCGGGCCGGGCCGGGCCGGGCCCAGCATTGGGCGTGATTGGAGCCCACGGTGGTGGGAGGTAACCCTATCGAGCGCCACGGCCCGGGGCCACAAGGCGGGCCCACTGGGCGGGCCCCCGCGGCGCCGCACCGGCCCCCACCCCCTCCCCCGCGCGGACTGCGTGGACAAGTGGACCTCTAGGCAGGCGTGCCTGCTGCATGCCGGCCTTGGCGACGTCCCGCGAGCGAGCGGGCGGTGTAACGGGGACCAAGGACGAGGAGTGACGACGGCTCGCCGCGTGGCGGAGCGCACCGCTGGGAAACACGGAGGAACAGCTAGGTCCCAGCAGGACGGGCTCCGGAGATAGCAGGGTGGAGGGGTGTAGTAGAGGCCCGGGGGTGCAGGGGTGTAGCGGACCGGGAGTGTGTAGGGGGTAGGGGCCGGGTGGCCGGGCCGGGGGCGGCAGCAGCGGCAGCGGCCCGGCCGGTCAAGGTGCAGCCCCCTCCGCTCCAGAGGGTCGCGGGGGGCCCTGCTGACCAAACCACCCCTCGACACCCCCAGTCAATGCTAATGGGAGCGGGCGGGCGCCCCGACGGCCCCTCCGCCCCGCGCGCCGCAGCCGCGCCTGCAGTGGGGGGTGGCGTGGCACCGCGGGC